AGGTGGATTGGGGGGGGAGTAGCACACCTTTTCTCGCGAGGGACGAGAGCGGGCGATGATGAGGATGAGACGGAGCAGCAGCGGCCGTTGATGACCGAGGACGAGAGGATGCCTGCTGCTGCGCCCGGGACGACGAGGAGTTATGCGCATCGCGATATCAAGCCGGGTATGTCACACCCCCTGAACTGTGAACTGCGCCCCCTGTTGGAGTATGTGCTAACGGGGAGTTCTAGCCAACATCATGATCTCGGACTCGGGCACGGAGCCCATCATCATGGACCTCGGGTCCGTCGCCGTATCACCGCTGCCCATCACCAGCCGATCCATCGCCATCGCCACCCAAGACACCGCCGCCGAGCACAGCACGATGCCGTACCGGGCGCCGGAGCTGTTCGACGTCAAGACGGGCACGGTGATCGACACCAAGGTCGACATCTGGTCGCTCGGCTGCACGCTGTACGCCTGCCTCGTCGGCAAGTCGCCCTTCGAGATGCGCAGCGACGAGACGGGCGGCTCCCTGAGCATCTGTGTCTTGTCGGGCGACTGGCGCTTCCCTGACGAGGGCCCCGGCGGGAAGCCCAAGTCCAAGGGGAAGGGCCCGGCTGCGGCTGCGGCGGACGACGAGGCCATCAGCGAGCCTATCCGTGAGGTGGTCAGGGGGTGTCTGAAGGTGGAGCCGGCTGAGCGGCCGGATATTGATGAGTTGATTGCGATGGTCGAGCGGGTCGTGGAGGAGCTGCCTGAGGATGGCTCGGCTTGAGGTGGATGATATTGGGTGGTATCTTTGTGTGTATAACTTGGGTGGTTTGCGATCTAAGCTGGCGTTGGGCGCCGGGCGGGAATATTTGGGTGGATTTTATCTCTATCGTCATTTTTGTAGCCGCGGTGTTAGTCGCTCAGTACATACCTTGGTGTGGTCATTGCTAGCAGCCATTATCAGTATAGAGGGATTATGTGAGTTAAATGCTGGAGAAATATGTGATGGAAACTGCGTACATAACATTCAGATTTGGATTGGTTGTTACTGGCAGAGTTTGCAAACCATGCGCATCCTCATATCTTCCACCAACATGGAGCTCTATTGCTATCATTAGGACAACAGATAACAAATCTAGCCCAAAATCAACCAATCTAACTTGCGATGTTGTAGTTCTAAATGCGATTCTTCTCTGAAATCTTTCGTTCCCATCTCAGTTCGCCAGCGCAGAAGCAGCGGCAGCAGCGGCGTTAGCAGCATCCGCCCTCTGGACACATTCCTCCAGGACCTTCCAGAACAGCGGAACGTCCAAGCTGCGCGGGATCCTCACGCCCTCCTCACCCGGCGGGAGCAGCCTGGCCGTGATCTGGCCCGTCTTAGCCCCGGCGTCGGCGTCTTCGTAGGTGCCCTCGGTGACCACCGTCACCTCGAACCGCTCCCTCTGCGCCAGCCCGGGCTCGCCGGCCGGGTCGCAGTCGCAGAAGGGGATCTCGTGCTGGTCACCGACACCGGTCAGGACGGCCGCCACCGCGAGGGGGTCGTGCAACGGCGGGCCCTCGGTGATACCGAAAACGTCACTGCGATACCGTCAGCTTTCCTCCTCCCCAGAATGCTACCCAAGCATCCAGAACAACACTCACCTATACGTCTTCGCAAAAAACATCAACAACTCCACCAACATCACCCTCAACGATGACTCTTCCCCGGGCCCCCCCCACCTCCCCCCTCTCGACCGCCTCCCGCCCATACAGCAGCAAATCCCTCACTGCCCCCGTCGTCAGCACCAAATGACTCACATCCAACGGAATCAGCGTGGTCTTCCCCGCCAACACTCTATCCCCAAAAATCGCCGCCGCCGCCTCCGGATCCGCCAGCACATTAAACTCAGCAAACTGGGTCCAGTTCCCCACGCGGGGCACCCCCCCCACGGGCGCCCAACACCGCGGGCGTGAAGCCGCCACCCAACGCCCCACCCATCAGGCTCAGCCCGCGCACGTGGGCCACCAGATCAGGATACTTTGGCAAACAGCGCGGCCGCATTGGTGAAGGCGCCCGTGGCGACGGCCCCACGGCGTTGCTGGGGTCGCAGTCGCCCAGCGCGGCGTAGGGTGGCGTTGATGGCTGGCGGGGAGGTCAGCGCCGGCACGGTGGGTTCCGGGAGGAGCTCGCTGCCGTCGAGGCCCGTCTCGCCGTGGATGGTGGTCGGGGCGCGGAAGGGGGGGCGGACGATGTCGTGGGACTCGCCGTTGTAGACGGGGATGGTGGTGGATTTTTTGGAGGGCGGTGAGGATGGAGGCGGCGTTCCGGGTTGTTTTTCTGGGGGGGGGTTAGTAAAGCGGGTGGGATGGAGGTGAAAGTGAAAGGGGGGTGAGTTACTCGAGAGAGGCATTGCCGAAGACGGTTGAGATGCCTAGGATGCGGATTGCGGGGTGGTAGGCTGTTAGGAGGATGGCGAAGGCGTCCTGGTGAGAGAGACGTGAGTTAGTGTGTGTGTTTATTTTGAGGTGATTCAGGGGTAGGTTGGGTGATGGTGTTCGGCGACACCAGTGAGAAAGTCCTCTCCCCCTCCCCCTCGGCGATCCTCGGGATTGACCAGCCGTGGCCTCTCTCGCTTGGTATTTGCCCGGCGCTTTGAATAAAACCAGAAGAGACAGGAAGGCAAGCTCAACTCAATACAAGTTGGAATCACTTACATCGTGGCCAGGGTCGCAGTCCAGCCAAACGGGGATCCGTGTGTCTTCCATATTGAATTGGGGTTGTTTGTTGGTTGGGTTGGCGAGGTGGGGGACTTGGGTTGAATGAGCTAGTTATTACGAATATGTTTCGTTCGCAATTGTAAGACAGGCAAAATACTTAAATAGCAAGTTGAAGAAACCTGGTATCAACTCAAGTGGAAGTAAGATCCGGTTACTGGGTGTCGCTCGGCAATGTTGGGGAGCGGAGGGGCAGTGCGTTTCAGTCTGGATCCACTGAGAACTGATCGCATGAACAACTGAGGCTGGTTAGTTATGTAGTTGCCCGATTAGGCAGGAAGTTGAATCAAACCACCCTGTTAGTAAACTCCAAACACCCAGCATGCTGTAGTCATTCACTTGGTTGTGTTCATTTGTATGAGTTGCCTTTTGAGAAGTGGTTGTTTGAGGGGATCCTCATAAACTCATCGAGTTTGCATTCACTAGATTAAGGGCAGTCCATCAGCCACCCCTCTTCTGCCTCTGCATTACCTTCATAACATCCTCAAAATTATTCTTATCCCCCTTCCTCTTCTTCCCACCTCTCTTCCGCTGCGACTTTCCACCGCCTTCACCACCGCCCCCTTTTTCCTCGTCGCGGCCACCCCAAGCGGATAACTTGACCTTGGTCTCATCTGCGTCCGCTTCGTCCTCCACTCGGCTCGAGCCAAAGCCCAGGTCCATGTCTTCATCGTCGCGATTTGACTCCAGGAGCTTCTTCTTGAGGCGCTCCTCCCTCTCAGCAGCCTTCTTCTCCTCTTCCGACTTCTCCATGGCGCTGGCCGCCTTTGCCTTCTTGAGGGCTGCCATGAAAGTAGGGTCATCGAGCGATGGCGCTTTGTACTTGTCTTCTGACGTGAGCGCCGTCTTGGAGTCTTTGAAGTAGTTCCTCGCGGCTGGGGCGTTGGGTTTTGGTGGCGGAGGCATATCTGTTGTTGCCTTTGCTTCCGCTTCCTCCTTGGCCTCACCCTCTTCATCTGAAGACCCGTCGGATTCCTCTAAGCCGGCTAATGGGTCGTAGTCGGAACCGGCGTCGTCGAAAATGCTTATCTCCTTGCTGTCCTCCTCCGCTTGCTGCGCCTCCAATTGTTTCCTGTAGAACTCGGGCACTTCCATGCCGAGCACCTTGCTCGAGGCCAGGAGCTCCCGTTCCTTCTCCAGCTCCTCCTCTGCCTTAGGGTCCACTTTCCTCACTTTCCGCCTTTCGTGCCCGTCTTCGTCTACAATAATCATAACCTCACGGCCTCTGCTGTCCCTCTCTATCCTGGTCCCGGGTGTCTTCTTTTCCCCAATTCTTTTGAACTTGGATCCCAAGCTGGATTCCTCCTTCGCTTTCGCCGCCGCCGCTCTCGCGGCTTTCATCTCGGCTAATATTTGGTTCCGCGACCTCTTTTGCCCGGGGTTAAGTGTGGTAATGGCAAACTGGCCCTTCTTCTGTACCTTCTCTTTCTCGATCGCCTTGACCTCGGTAGATTCCAACTGCTCTAGGAAGTCATCTGGGTCCTCCTCTGGTTGATCTTGGGGTTCCTCCTCCTCACCGTCTCCCTTCTCCGCCTGAGAAGACTTCTCCTTATCACTGTAGACATCCTCTCCCCTTCGTATCCTCTCGAGTAGCTTAAAATCCAGCCCTTTCACCAGGTGGGTGCTCGACAGGTCGCCACCCGCTATCTCGCTTCGTAGACGGTCGTATGTCTCGCGGTCAATCTCCTCCTTCTTGAGCGACTCTTCCAAAGCCTTGAGCCTCTTGGCCCGTTCATCTTCCTCCTCTTCCCGTGTCCTGGAGCGGTCGACATATCCTTCAGCGAACCTGCTACCCTTGGGCGCAAAAGACCTGAACTTCTTCTGTGACTTTTCTGGCACTTGATTCCGTTCTGCGAGCTGTTTGGCAAAGTCTACGCGAGCGCCGGCGACGGAGCGGGGTGTCATGGGAATGCTCGACTTGAGCCTCGATCCGAGTGCGGCAGGAGTGTTCGAGGATGGACGGTCGGCAATCGGGGAGGGGCCATTTTTGTCGGCTTTCGATTTGGCCGAGTTGGCCAGCAGGAGCCTGCGGAATTGTTCGTTGTTCATTATTGCGACGGCGGATGGGAGAAGATGAAGGGAGAGCTCAGTCCAGGCCCGGAAGAAAGTCTAGAAGTTGAACATATAACCCTAACCCCGATAATCATTGCATGCCATTGACTGGGTAGCGTCATGTGATTGCGCGTCGCAGAGAGACAAGCTGCTGGGCGAAGGGCGCGCTTCCCGGACACGTCGGACGCAAATGGCAAGCCTCGAGTTGCCACCAAAGGCGTCGAATGCTCAAGGCACACAAAGGTTCTTTTTGGAGAAATATGGCAACTCTCACAACTCCATCCATCCATGTCATGTTTTCAACATCGACTCTCATCCAGCTCTTCCTTTCTCAAATGAAGGCATAAAACACCAAAACCCAACATTCATTTATGTATTTGCCTAATGATGTCATTGTCGCTTTCGCTTTCGCATTTCTCAGTCGCATTCCATGGGCAGCCGTTTGGAAAAGAACTCGGAGGCTGTGCGGAAACGCATCGCTGGCCATGAGTTCAACGGCGAAGATGGCGAGGAGTACGAAGAGAGCGAGTTTGGGGGGTTCGGCGATTACTTCAGGAGGAAGAAAATGAAGCTGCAAAACCTCGATGTCGAACTGCGCGCAGCTAGCGGAGACAAACCCCAAATATTCAAGGGGATCGTGGCCCATGTTACCGGTTATACCCAACCTCCCCTCCAAGTGTAAGCAACCATTTTTACCCACCTATGTTTTCGAACCCCCGCTAACCCCTGAGCAGCCTTCACAAGGAGCTTGTCCAGCATGGCGCCGCCTTTCTGCAATACTTGGATTCCAAGACCATGGCAACCCACATCATCGCCTCGGCCATGCCACCGAAAAAGAAGGCCGAGTTTGCCAGCTATCGCGTTGTCAAGCCCGCTTGGGTGATGGACTCGATCAAAGCTGGGAAACTGCTCCCCTGGTCAGACTACCGTGTCATTGATGATGGTCCGAGGCAGAAGATGATCAAATTCGGCCAGGGGAAGATGCTCAGTCAAACGACCCAGCAGTCCCCGCTAGGCTACCGCGAGCAGACCCAGGACAGCTTTTACACGAGCCAGTTTTCAAAGCCCGCAGACCGCCTACCGCCCCAAGGTTCCAGCAGTCCGTTCCAACCTGCGTCTGCGAGGAAGTCCGCCCCGGCTGCCCTCGAGGCCATTGATGACTTTGACGATGTGGATGTGGATATGCTTTTTGGAGGCTTCGGTAGTCTCGGAAGCAGAGGCCCAGCCTAATTTCCCAACGCCAGATAAGCAGCCGCCACAATCGGAGGAGAAACCTCTGCAGGTCAAGCTACCTGGGCCTGACGAGGAACCAGATTCGCCGCAACGACAGAAAACCCCTGGGAAACCAATGACCTCGGAAGAGCACAACGCCCTGCTCCTCCAGGATCCCAAGATTCGAAAATCATCCACTGCGAACCCTGACTTCTTGAAACAGTACTACTCTCACAGCCGTCTGCACCACTTGTCTGCCTGGAAAGCTCAACTGAAGTCGCGCATGATGAGTGTGACGGCAGAGAGAGGCCGGGCGATCAAACCGATGAAGCGCAAAAGCGGCACGCGTCGATATATCATGCATGTCGACTTTGACAGCTTCTTCTGCGCAGTTTCTCTCAACCGGCATGCCCCTGACCATCGTGACAAGCCGACCGTGGTGGCTCACAGCACGGGCAGCGGATCCGAGATTGCCTCCTGCAACTACCCCGCCCGAAAGTTCGGCGTCAAGAACGGCATGTGGATGAAGCGTGCTCAAGAACTCTACCCCGACATCAAGGTAGTACCGTACGACTTTCCGGCCTACGAAGAAGCGAGCAAGCTGTTCTATGATGCCATTCTTGACGTCGGAGGTGTTGTTCAGAGCGTCAGTATCGACGAGGCTCTTGTCGACATCACCGATATCATACTCTCTGCCGCAGGGTCCAGCGGCGTGGGCATCAGTGAAGGCAGCATCTGGCAGGAGCAAGAGAAGGCCGACGAAATTGCAACCAATCTCCGAGCAGAGATTAAAAGGAAAACAGACTGCCATGTCTCGGTAGGAATCGGCGGCAACATCCTGCTCGCCAAGGTTGCCTTGCGAAAGGCAAAACCTGCTGGCCAGTACCAGGTACGCCCGGAGGAGGTCTTGGATATTCTCGCCCCCCTCAAGGTTGAGGACCTCCCGGGCGTAGCCTACAGCATTGGCGGAAAGCTGGAAGAGATTGACGTCAAATTTGTAAGCGATTTACGCCAGACATCCAAAGAGCGCCTAGTGTCCATCCTAGGGCCGAAAACGGGTGAGAAGTTGTGGGAGTATGCCCGGGGTATTGACCGCGCAGAGGTTGGAGAGCAGCCTATTCGCAAGTCTGTGTCGGCTGATGTGAACTGGGGGATCCGGTTCGTAAGCCAGGCGGAAGCCGAAGAGTTCGTCCACAACTTGTGCAAGGAGCTTGAGCGCCGTCTTCTGAACGAGGGTGTCAAGGGGAAGAATTTGACCATGAAGATCATGAGACGCGCCCTCGATACGCCCCTAGACCCAGCCAAACACCTCGGGCACGGTAAATGCGACACATTCACGAAGAGTGTCACTTTCGGCGTAGCTACGAACGACAGCGGCGTCATCGCGAAGGAGTCGGTTGCAATTCTTCGTTCCTACAAGTTCAGCCCTGGTGATCTCAGGGGTCTAGGGGTGCAGATGACCAAGCTGGAACCCATCAAGCCCTCAAGCGTTCCCGAGGGAAGCCAAAAAAAACTCAACTTTAGCGCCGCAGCCCCTCCCACAAAAAGGCCCCAAACGGAGCCAGTCCATGACGAGGACTGCGCAGGAAAACCGAGTCGCCGTCTTTCCGGGCGGGAGGTGGAGGAGGACCCCATCGCCGACGACCCCTTAACACCGCGAAAACCCAAAGCCCACCCAGCGCTGGCCCTCGCCCGGGCCAACGCCGCCGACGAGAAAGCCAACTCACCTCTCAACCTGGCCGGCACGCAATTCATCATCCCCTCCAACGTCGACCCCACCGCCCTCGCCGAACTGCCCCACGACATTCGCACCAAGCTGATGCAGCAGCAGCAGCAAGCCAAACGCCCACCACCACCATCCCGCGCCCCAACCCCAGCCACCTCCCGCTCAGCATCCCCCAGCCGCCCCCTCCACTCCCACTCCCACAGCCCCGCCATCCTCCCCGACGACATCCCCTCAGACATCGACCGCGAGGTCTTTGACGCCCTCCCAGCGGACATGCAAGTCGAGGTACTCGCCTCGTACGGGGCGGCAGCGGCGCGGAACAAGAAAAATCAGCCACACCAACCCATCGGCGGCAGTGGTAGCAGTATCGGCGGTGCACAAACCCGCCTCCCCCAATCCCCACGCAAAGACAGGATCATCCACCGACCACGCGAGCGCGCCACACCCACCAAACGCGGCGGCGGGATTAAGTCGCTATTCGGTCGTGCGCGCGAGCGCGAGCGCCAGCAGGACGCGGGCGCGGGGCTGCTGCAGACGAGTCTGGCGCCGGCCGCGCGCGATTCGGGTCTAGGGGCGGGGGAGCTGGACCCGGCGTTCCTGGCCGAACTGCCGGAAGATGTGCGCCGCGAGGTGATCGAGGACCATCATCGGCGGCGGCGGTTGGGGCGCGGGGCGGGCGCGGGGACTGGGTTGGGGTTGGCGCTGGCGTATCATGCGCCGGCGCGACGCGGTGATGCGGGTGGTGGTGGGGGTGATGCCCCCCGGGGCCAGACGCGTCTCAAGTTCCCTGCGAAACCGCGGCGGGTGGCGTTTGCGCGGTCCGGGCTGACGTCGCTCGGAGAGGTGAAGGAGATGGTGGGGGTGTGGTATGAGGAGACGAGGGAGGAGGGGCCGCACCGCGCGGATGTCGAGGTGTTTGAGCGCTATGTGGCGAGGGTGGTGGCGGAGGAGAGGGATATGGAGAAGGCGAGGGTGTTGGTGAAGTGGTTGGAGTGGTTGGTTGAGGAGGGTGGGGAGGGGTTTGGCAAGGAGAGTTGGAGGGAGGCGGTCGTGGCGGTTAAGAGTGCGGTTCAGGCCGCGATGGGGGAACGTGGGTTGGGGGTGATGGATTTTGGGTAGGGCGGCTGGTTATACCGGGAGGTTCCTGCCGGGGGTGCGTTTGAGCATTGTTGTTGAAAATGGATACAAGAAGTTTATTATTGAAGGGTATCTACGCCAGAAAACCTCGCCGAGTATCGAACAGTATCAGAAACACTCGTGTCGCACACCACACCCACTGGTTACATGAGCATCAGAGACACTGCGCCGACGGCGGCCAGGCCCGCAGCCCAAGTTACGCGTGTAGCGGCGGCGGTGGAAGCCATGTAAACCTGGAGTGGCCAGTTTAGCAGCGTGGTATACTTGGGTTTGGGAACAGGCTCACCGTCAGTTTGAGGTTTCCACCACAGGCTTGCGTCGTGTTGCCCTCGCAGGGTAGGTTGCATTCGCCCTGTCTGGGACTTTTTCCGCACGAAGGTCTGAGATTGTCTGGGCGCACCAGCATTCTCTGTGTTGGGTTAGCATGCCATTTTCCATCACTCAGTGACGAAACAACATATCCATCCTTGGCTCTCTAACCAGCCCGCCCCATTCTAGGTAACAACTCCTCTCCGACAACACCCAGCATCTCCATCCATCACCACCTACACCCTGCCATGTCTCACCCCAACCAACTAACCAATTCACACCCCTATCCCCTAAGCCTACCAACAGCCTCTAAACAGACGAGAGAGAGTAGCAACATACCTCGCATACTCAACCCGGAAAAATAAACAATGTCCTCCCAGACCTCCATCTTATCGCCCGGCTCAGACCGACTAAACTCTCCCTACATCTCCAACCGAAATGTCCGCCGCCCGCCCCACGCTTGTGGTCCTCCGCCCAACGGGACCACCCCCCCCCC